CTCCTCAGCAGCAACCAAGTAAGACTCATCTCCATCCTCATCCACCCTGGTGTCTTCTGGGTCATCACGGTACTCAAAGGACCCTACGCTGCCTTTTGCGTCTCCTTGCTCTGCAAGTGAGATGTCATCAGCTCGCACACCTTCCACCAAAAGAATAAAAATCAATTGATTGGAAAAACTCAATTTTTTCAAAGTTTGCCTTTTTGCTAAGTGTACCTTTCACTGAAGCATGTGCTAATGTTATGGATTGGAATGCTTTCTATACATGTCGACTTTTTTGACCATTCTTAACAAAAAATATGATTTCTTTGTGGCTGACTTTTACATCAGAAGTTATTAGGCCAAAAAAAACCCAGTGCTTACAATGATGTCTGGCAAGGTATTCCAAGAGAGGACACAGAAAAAAATTGAGGTTTTTAGCACGTATACAAACTTTGCTACCTTTTAGGTACTTTTATGATGTTGTACTTTTTGTTTTGCTTTTTGTTTTGTTTGTTTTTGTTTGTTTTTTGGTTTTGTTTTGTTTTTTTTGTAGCTGAAATTGGCCAGTCACCAATTAATTGAAGGCTAAAAGAAGCCAAGATTTACATATGCCTTCATGTCCTTTGGACACGGTTCTTCCAAGAAAATAAACATGTAAACTTCAAATTGCCCTCATTATAGAACTCGTCCATGTCCACTTCAGTGTATCACAGCACATTCCGTACACCGCATCATTAGCAGTTTGGCAGGGGAAAAAAGTACCTATATTAAACCCTTGCTCTGCTCCACCTTCCAAAAGTACTTCAACATTTCTGTTAGTTAGTGCCTTGTCACAGACAGAATCCTACCTCCCCCTCCCCCCCCCCACACACACACCCAGACCCACACACAGAACCCTTGAAGTAATCATGATACAGTCCGACCATGTTAATAAGAGCATTGTTAATAAATATCTTGCTTACAAGGAAAACTTTAGGTCCCAATCCTTTCTTCTCCATTGTTTTCATTCTTGATTACACAAGGTTCCTCTTGTACACTGCATTACATGTATGTACATGTATGTAATGCCATGAAAGTAACTTATACCAAATAATTTCACTGTGCTCATGTGCAGTAGTTCAAAGCAAACAGGAAAAAGCTAAGGAAAAACTTAGTGGATTTTTTTAAGGGTGCAATCCCAAAACACCTCAATCCAGTTCAGATTGGCTAACAGTTTCATTAAATCTCAAGCTCAAACATTTCATTTAACTATCAAAGTCAACTGAAGAAAAACAAAACTCTTCTCTGCACGACAGTGTTTTCACTTTCTGATGTACCAACTTCCGTAAAGTTTTTTGTTGTTTACCTAGTCCTTTTCTAACAATATAAACTCTACTGAACAAGGTAATTTGTCTAGTCACACCAGAAAAAGAGTTGGTTGCATTTGATCATGCACAACTAATCCCACTGTGGTAATAAAAAATCACACCAACACACCTACTTTGAGTGAAGAACCCCAACCAAACAAATGAGTCACCTTACTGTTGATTTTGAATCATCTCCAAGCCTACTTCTAATATTTGTGAACCATTAGGAACTCCCTAGTAATGTCAACAGTTACATGTCATGTAAGAATAACTAAAGGGGAAACCATTTGCAGACTAGTTTGCTTCCAAGAACTTCTGCAAATTGTTGGGTTATGGGTCACCACTAAAACCAGTTCACGCATGGAACTTTTAAGTTTCTAAAGGATAACTGTATTCTCCATGGAAATTACTCAAGCTTCATTCTTTCTGAATTAATGCACTTCTGAGTTTTTCTTAAATAAGTTACAAACTTAATCCACACTTTTAAGGTCAGTGCCTGAGCCCAATTTATTTTGAAGTGATAATTCCCAAAGCTACCATATTCTACATGTACTGGTATGTAAATGCTGTGTAACAACTTTGGAATAACAATTCTTGATCCATGACTGACGTGTCACGAGTTTTGAGGATGCTGAGTATTAACAAGGGGTTATCTTTACTCATATACCTAAGGTAGAAATTATCTTTGAACAACCTTATAGTTACCAGACAATGCCAATGGAAACGACAAAACTCCAAACTCCTGTAGATATAAACTATGCAGAGAGTCTATGGGATTTAGGAGAGAAAAAGAAAAAATGAACAAAAAAAGAAGTTTTCCGCATCTATTGGTATGAAAAAGATGGCAAGAACGCCAAGAAGACAGAGAAATCCTTGGCCCAGCAGCACCAAAGTACATGAACGTGTATGGATGCATGCAATACATACTGTACATGTACATGATGCCATACGACTGGTATCCACTGACTACAAGTGAGACTGGAATATACATGTAGGTTAAGTATGCACTCATGGACACATGTTGGTACCTTGCCGGCCGTCAAGCGTTGTTGTATGTGAAACATCTTGCTCAGTCTCTGCAGTTTGAGAACTATTCTCACACAGTCCCGAGTCAGCAGTGGACCCTTTGAAGGACCCCTTCAATGACCCTTCCTTCTCCCTGTTACCCTCCACTGATATGTTGTCATTGTTGTAGGCTTTGCGATATTCATCCCCGTCTGCGGTTTCTCTGTCTGACTGGCGGCCCACTTGCTTTTTGGCCAAAGTCTGAGCTGGATCTGACACGCCAAAGGGTGGGCAGAGCGACAAGCATTTCCAACACATAGTGACACTATGATATAAAGATACACCTGTCAACTTGGTCTCAAATCCACCAAAAGAATATGAATCGCTCTATGTGTAGATCTGAGCATTCCATTCGGTAGCCTCCCTTTGATCCAACGTGCCCAGCATGTATGTATGGCTTAGTGAAGTATACAGCCAGGTAGAAAAGAAAACACCTATGGAAGGTTAATCATTTACATGACAAACGGCAAATCTGAAGAGAGTCTGCTGGGCCTAGGTTAACCACACAAACCCCTGCTTTGATAACCGGTGCACGCCCCACTGACCTCATAGGCATACCAGGGCTACATACTTTTCTTCTCCTGAGTTAAGGGAACAAAAAGTGGAAACCGAAAGTTTGGACATCCAGCTTAGTTAAAATCTGTGCTTGAATACAACCTGACTGCCGGCTCACTACCACTTTAACAGTCCCAGACTCATTTAAGAATTTGTCCAGGTCTTGCACAATAGTGGTAGAATACAACAAAATGGAGGACGGCCCTCCTCACACCTACAGTACGCTGCAGTACACGAGCCTCACACACCCAACCCATTGCTGCAAAATGAAACTGTCATTCCCAGCATGTGAAATTCCATGACTGCTCCAAAGTCAAGGATAATGGTAAAGAACAATTTATGGGCAGCATAAATTTATGGACAATGCCGGGCAGGGCAAATATCCAAAATTAAAGAACAATTTACTCTCTCTTACTTTCTGGGTTGGAGGCAAGACTGGACTTTTGTTACTCAGTAATCTATCACTGTTCTACAAAAATGTCCAAAAAAGAACTGCTGCAAACTGTTTGCTGACTACGGTGACTTGAAGAATATAAATTCACAATTTAGGGAGCCAGACTTTTCAATCCTATGGTACAAGAATCGTGCACTTGGACAAAACTACCTCTTCAATATCGATGGAAAACAGACCTTCCTCATATTGCAAAATACATGGAAGCCAAACTTTACAGAAAGTTCACCCTTGGTTGGTGGAAGGTTTTGCCTCAGGAAGTACGTTTACATCATTTGTGTTAAAAAGGGATTTATTTTCACTCAGTTATCGGATTATCAGAATGTTTATTGTCTATTCTGACTGCAGTATGCAATTAATAATATACTGTGACTGATTAATTCTTCTTTTGTACACGTATCTGTTTTGATGGCCAGCTAGTTTTCCAACCTCTGCAGAGCTCTGGTAAGCAAAATCTATGCCAGTTATGAAGAAACAATCTATTCATAGAGACAGCAGCACACATGAATGGGATGTACATGCAGATGTACATGCATTCAGAAAGTTTCTTGCTCCAGTGACCTCTGACACAGGGTCAAGTCAATTTTAATATTAAAGCCTGCACACTTGGGTACACTATGCATAGTAACTTAAGTCAAGAGAAAGGTGAGGCTGACATTGTATTGTAACTAATGAAATCAGGAAAGATGAGAAGCTAACAAGAGGTTTTCAGTTCAGATCTAATTTGAAATCAAAACTTAAAGTCAACACAGTCTTGGTGATTTTTTTAGGTAAACAAGTAAAAAGTAGAACTAAGTAAGATATTTGTATACAGAGCTATGGAGACACAACCATTCTGCCTTGTATGACATCATGCTTTGACTAATGAATATTGAAATTTCATTACCACAGAAACCCAAATATTAAAGTTTTCCCCTTTTACTGCTTCAAAAGAAGTAGAAATTCATAGCAACATTGCAAAAAAGCATTCTTACAGGTATTCAAGTCATAAAATCCTATATCAGGTCTCCTCCATTTTGGGCACGGGAGGAGGAGTAGGAGTGACTGCTACTCTTCAAACTTTTAACTGAAAGCAGCTGTGAGCTTACTGCAGAGATGAATCATTACACAATCATAGATGAAACAAACTACCATGTTCTCTCACAGAATTCAGTCTACAACTCCTATCCATTAGCTTCTAATACTTGTAATATTATCTATGGTGATGGTCAGCAAAACCGCAGTACTTGTACCAACGTAAGCTGCAGACTTGATATCACTGCATGGTCATCTTACATTCCTGAACCATATATACAAACTACCCGAAGTCTCTCAAACTCCAACGTGTCCAAGGTTGATTGGTACTGTACATTATGAATGTGTTGTTCAGCTTTGTTGGGTTGAAGAACAAAGGCGTAGTGTGATGGTGTTGAATATACAGTGGTTGCTCTGAGGAGTGACTGGCAAGTGGTACCACGAGTGGGACTTTGCTTGATTTTGTCAGGTTATGCTGCAATTAAGTCACCTATATACAGCAGAGGCTTGTCCATACCAAATGACTCAAACTTTGACACCTGTTGAGCCCAACACATTCCGTCCAGTTACATGCCAATAATTACAGTGACCCCCTGTACTAGAAGGTACCCTACATTAATGTACACGTAGTTGTATCTGTCGCATTTTGTAAGATCCAAAGGGAAACTCCCAAACCACCCATGAGAAAAAGGATCAAGAGTGAGATCCATTAGCAAAGGGGGGGAAGAAATCATTGACTGAAATGAATGAATTCTAGACAGAAACAAAGACCCCAGGTGGTGCGAGTAAAGAAACAAAAATCAAACCTTGGCTGAAGAGAAAATCAAGTTAGATTAGAACAGTGAAATCTACATGTACATTCAACGGAAAAGTTATTGCTGCAAAAATATTGGTGCAATCAATGATTTTCTCTGAAATCTTGCTAGTTGGCATAAGTTTCCTATGTGGCTACAGTCGCCACAGCAAATTCCTTTGTTTACCAATAACCTGATGCAGACATATGGCTCATGTTAATTTATGGCAGAAGTTTAACTTTCCCGATTCCATTCTACAAGAAGTGCCATTGCGAACTGACGTTGCTGTGTATAGACAAATCCGAGGAGACACCACTCCTGCAGGGCTATTGCACCCGCCGTGCACCTATTAACTTGGGTACATGTGCGCATTTCGTCAAGTTACAACACTCTACTGGTCAGAAAGAAATACAACACGTTCATACCATCCGTGTGCAAACAGGATGGCTCCAATGGTAACGGCTTCTAACTCCGGTCCCTGGATTAATCTAGATACACTTGGTTTTGGATAACCAGCAACACCACTGGACAAACTGCCAGGCTTTACACAAAGCCGTTAAGCTCCCTCTTACATGTACAACACACACATCTGTTTATGAATTTACACAAGCATGCGTTAAAACAGTATCCACACTGCAAAGTCCACAGAGATGTACAGGTTAATTTATGTGCAATGGTGCATGACTGCAATGGATGTCATTTCACCATTGGTAATATCTTTGCTATTGAGGAACAATATGATGGTACAACAAAATAACAAGAGAAAAACTAATGAAACAATTCAACAGCTGCCGCGCCAAATCTGAGCTAAAAATAACATGAACACAGAAACTTGCACACAATGTTTCTGTCTACCAGTTGTCCGCACATTTCAAACACTAAAAACACCTGTGGTTTACGAGAAATATCAAACCAATGAGGCACATGTACTTGACACTCCCCTCGCCCACAAATTCCCAAGAGCCTTTGCTGAGTTTATTCAATCACAAAACTTACCATAGAGACTACGACTTTGCATCTGCATTGTCAAAAGTTCATCTTGGATGGGTTCGTATGAATACGGTTTCCTTGAGTTGGTTTGTTTGCCCATTGCACCGTATTTGTGACTAGGGTCGTGAGTCCTTCGTGGTCTCACTGCAGTGGGGGCTGATGAGGAATAAGCAGAGTGTCTAGCCATGCCCACCTTGGGACTGGTGAAGTATAGCGAGGGCGGCTTAGGGGAAGGCGGTCTACGGTAAAGGTACTGAGAGCTTGCATCCGTCCGGGTCAGAATGATGTCTGGCGTGCTAGAGGTACTGGAGCATGCATCGTCGGGCCAGTGAGAGGAAGTCTCAACCTGGAGATGTTCACCCATAGAGGGAATGATACACCAGTCCTTGAGAAGAGGGGTGGGATCGCCAAAAGAGAGCTCTGAGCTCGTCTCGCTGTAGGCCAGTTCTGAACAGCTGCACCAGTTTAGGTACCTTCGGAACAAGTCAGGCAACGACATGATCCTGAAAATTTACAGAGCACTCACTCCTGCACACCCTGACCTTCAAGTCATACTTGGCAATTCCATCCCAAAGGGTAGTTTGCACAGCAGACATCTGATGTGCAAATAGATGGATTACAAGATACCGGGCAAGGCGGCATGGCTATGTCAGACTTCAGGTCACGGCAAAGAGAAAAAAAAAACACCCTTTGTCAGTGACATCAATACCTACAGCTCTACAGATGTAATATAAATAACCGACTCATATTGTGATGATACACCGGTACACAGGTGAAACAAGAGACCACGTTCTAGTGCAGAATGCAGAGTACCTGGTACCTTGTGCACATGTACATGTCTTTACAGCTCAACACTCAGCATAAAATTATCAATGCTGATATTAAGCAAAGCTGCACTTACGCCTACCAGCAGAAGCTGTTGTCTTAATGTCAGCAATCTACAGTGTACACATGTACAGATACAAACACACGCAGGCTTACATGAGTATGGTACTGATCGTAACGCATCAGTAATCTTTCACTGATAGCTAGGATTTGGTGTCTGGACATAATTTTGTTACCACTGCCTTTTGCATTATATGACGAAGTTATCTGCAAAATAACATCAACTTCTGAACCGGACTTCGGTCCAAAAATGGGTATGCAAGACTTCCGCGGACAAACCCTTCCTCTAACAAGAATAGCAAGAATGAAATGTCACATACATTGTACATAATGTACATGTACATGTCCTTTTGTGCACATACGTGCGTGACCTACAGAGTGTCTCATGTTAGCAGCTGCCAGCTGTGCACTGAAGCCAATAAATTTTTTTATCTGCCCCATGAAGCAGCAAATTTCAGCAACTAATTCCAGTCTGACGCAGTTGTTCATGTACATACATGTACTGGGTTTACAGAGAACAGTGACAAATTTCAAACGACTACCGGTACACTGCAAGCAAAGTTAACTCC